GCAAAAATTTTAATCAATAATGCCTTTTTCTCGTAAAATGAACAATACAAATGTTATACTGTCCATTTCAATCAAAGTAAATTACAATGTGAATTTTAATTCTAAGCAACTTTCCTTAATAACATACAGGGTATCCGCAAATTTCACCGACAACATTTAATTGCATATTCACGACGATAAATAAATACGATCTATGAAAAAAAAGTTGAATAAAAACTTGTTGGTTTTTAAGTTACAGGCCTTCAAAGTTATCAAAAATAAAAATAATTTAATTAATAACTTCATAACCCTTTTACCGATCGCGTTAAAATTTGGTACATTTATTTGGACTATTATGGTATATTATTTCTTAAAGTTTAGTCAAATCGATATACTGGGTGATAATTTTATCCGGTTACTCTCCCTTTTAGCGGTCAAAACTTTTAAAGTGGTCGTATTTTTTAAAACGGACAGCAACATTGAAAGTGTAGTTTTATTCTAAAAAAATATTGTCACTTGAGAAAATCACCTACAGAAAGCCATTCTTAAGAAAAACGGCATTATTTGCAGTTCTGTATGTTTCGGGTTGCGTGTCAGTGTCGCGGATTTAAAACTTTGAGATCAGTACGCAATGAAAACAAGATGTTGATTGCTGTGGCTATCAGGTAATGTCATTATTGTCGTGTTTCTTTAGGATTCTCATCACTCCACACATTTATTTCTAAATTGTTAAAAACAAAGGCAGTTGAACGATTTTTATATTTACCGATTTTCTGATCACCCTCTACATAAAAGATGAAAGTTCTTCATGCCAACCGCATTTTTAAGACGAGCAAAATTTTTTATCAAGAATACCTTTTTCTCGTAAAATGCAAAATAAAAATATTTTCCCTCTTTTCCACTTTAACCGTGAACTGTAGATACTTTCTTCTGATACCGCATTTTTCACTGTTTACAATGTGATATTAGAACATATTAACGTTTCAAAATTATGTAAGATAATATAAATGAGATACCAGATTGCTATATCCGCACTCGATACTAAATTAGCATATAAGAGTAATATTCAAGTTTCTACAATCACAACATACGGGAAGTTCTTCACTTTCAGTAGACAATTTCCTTGACATTATTTGAGAAGCAAGTGACAAAACCACGAGGCGCCCCCATTTTCTTCAATATTAATATTTTATAAGGATAAATTTAGTATAAACTTAATATTCTGCAGATAAACGAACACACCATGAATGCACAATAAGCTCTTGTGTTTACAGTTAAGTTGGAATATTCAATTAGAATACGCTACTAACATAATTATGAAAATTTGATAATTTTATTCTGTGTACGAAGATAGGATGCTTTGTTACTTTTATACAGTGTGTCCCAGAAGTAACGCAAAAAAATCGTATTTTATTATCTGTTTCGTTTTCACAAAAACGCTAAAACACGTCAATTAGTAAATAGGAATTGTCATTTTGTCACGTTGCTTAAACCTTTTTTGCGCTATGTTTCATAAACCTATGACGTCATCGATATATTTTTTTTAAATAGCACTACCTAATTTTTTAAGCATAAATGGATAGTCCTTTTGAAGGGAAATGCGTCGATATAGGATGTGGCCTACTTTACTTTGACAGGAGCGAAAAAAAGTCAATGACTGGAATGGACATGGTTTAAAATAACAATGAAAGTAGGTATCTTAATAGTGATGCGAGAAAAGTGCCACAGCAAAAAATGGAAATTTGTGGATGTTTTGTGTTTTGGTTGAATGTACACTGATAGAAATGCGTTTTATTCTTTATTAGAATTCTATATACCATTATAAAACCATTGTATACTATATGTGACAGTTAAACAGGTGAATATTGGATATAAAACGCGTATTGCTAGCACAGTTGTATAGTGACTATAAACCTTATTCTTTATTAAATTATTGTATAACTAGTATACAACGTTTTTTATACCCTTTACGAAATAATAGCAATAACTGTTATTAAAGTGTTCCATATCGTTATTAGAACATCTAGTACTGGTTATAAGTTTTATAATAATAAATGTATTAAACTGTTGTATACTCTGTATGAGTTAAAAACATATGTCATTAAGTTTTCAGAAATTTTATTGGATAACTGTAATTACAAGCTAAGGTTCTAATGTAAACATACATAAAACATACTTTTAAGCATTAAAAATGATGACAAATCGCTCCCAAAACTGTCCAGTTTATTTTCTTAGCAACGATGCACCCGTATTTTCTTGTATTACATGAGAATTTGCACTATAACTCTTCCACCTTAAGAATGAAGCATCCCCAGAAAGGTTGAGCTTCTTTCCATATAATTTTATTTCCTCTGGTTGATTGACTTTATACCCATGCTCTTCTTTGTCACCGTTAACCTTCTGTTCCTCCATCTTATGTAAAACTTAACATCAGCGATTTCTAATAGGACCTACAAAATAATAATTTTTAAGATTTAGACAAGATTTACATTTGAAAAAACAAAACAATTACAAGCCATAAAACAGTTAGATACTTACATAATAATTTTCCATTTCACACAACGCGATATGATCATGTATCCCACAAAACATGTGCATATACTGTCCATTTTCATCAAACTAGACGTGTGTAAGTCGATGCACAGCGGACTGTCGGAAATTTTACGATTGTTGTATTTTCTCTTCTTGAGTAAAGATAATAAAGACGTTGTGGTTTTGTGTGTTTATTTTGACAATGATTGAACATGTATGGACAATAAAAGTGGACTGTATAAGATAGTTGAGTACCGTTCTGCTTCATGCATAGCATGCTACTGAAATCTTAGAAGGGATGAGCTCGTGCGGCGAACCCTAAATCAGCGGCTGGAATAGCCAGGTTTCTTATTGAGTCGGCGCACTTCGCTCTCGGGTCTGACATATGATTATTATTACAAGACTATGAATATAACTTAACAACGATCATAACCGATTATGCACCGAGAGGTGACGATCACTTAACCATTATAAGACGCGTTTTACACGTTAAAAACGGAAACATATTCAGTATAAGAACGAATAATTCTGTTAATACAATTGTTATATACAAATTCGGATACTGGTCTTTATACAACAAATCTTCCCTACTATACAACTGGAATATAAAGTCTATAACACCTAATAATGTATAAGTAATTCATTATAACCTTTATTTCATAGATGCATAAGGTGTATTAAGCACCTTCCAGTTAAACTGATTGAATAATGAGTATGAAGATGATTGCTTTTTTTAAATAAAAGTTGTATATTGGTTATAAAAGTTTTAATATGCGCTATACACATTATTCTAGATAAACAGTTTAATAAGCCCATTTCTTTCAGTGTAGGTACGTTTTTATGTATTGATATGTTGGCGTTTTCGGCGATACGACGAATGGCAGTGTGTGGATTAGTGACAGCTAAACATAATATTTTGCCTATCATTTTCTATCACTGTCGTTGGCCTTCCAGATTTAGACAGATCTCTAGCATGTCCAGTGTGTGTACTAATCTGCATACTGTAGACGGAGGTATTGGTTGTTCTGGATAGTGGGCACTGAATAATTGACACAGTTCATCATAACTACGGATCCTATCTCCGTATCCAACCATAATTAGGATTTCAATTATTTGCTTCTCATTTAAACACAACACCATCGTAATGTAAAGTTATGGTATTTGTAACTGTCACAATGATATGAGGCACTATTGCATTCGCTAACTGTCGTCTTCAAAACAATACCTACATAGCCGCTGTGATCGGGTGTACCTACCAAATCTACATAAAAACAATCAAACGAAACACAGTTTTTGCTATAACACTGTTCGCGCATAAGATTGTGATATCTACTTTTGTTATTAATTCAAACCATGTCCATTCCAATCGTTGGCTTTTCTTTCGAACTTGTCAAAGTAAAGTTGACCAAACCCTATATCAACGCATTTCTCTTCAAAAGGGAATTATGCTTAAAAAATTAGGTAGTGCTATTTAAAAAAAATGTCGATTACGTCATAGGTTTATGAAACATAGCCCAAAAAAGGTTTAACCAACGCAAGGTGACAAAACGACAATTCCTATTTACTAATTGACGTGTTTTAGGGTTTTTGTGAAAACTCAACACAAAGTAAAATACGAATTTTTTGCGTTACTTCTGGGACGCACTGTACATATATGTATAAAAAAATTAATTGATTTATGGTGCAATTCATTCATTATTTATACAAAGTGTAGCTAAATTGCCTGGCTAAACTTGATTAGTGGATTATGCGACACAAATTAATGAAAAAATTAATTCCTAAATGTTTTATTCTCGAAATATGGTTTATTCTAGTTACAAAACCATGTAAATAAAATTTTATTTCTATTAACTATATTTGGAAAATAATTACTTTACCTTTATATAGTGTAACATATAGTATATGTGTTTGCAGGGTCTATTGTTTTATAATAATAGTGAGTACGAACTGAAATATTTTCTGAGAAAGATAATGTGGGAGAAGATTACAAAATCGACCTTTGAAACTAAATATTTGTATATAAAATATGGCATGTATATACATTTGTGGAAAATTAACCAATGTACCAAACTAAAAATCGCTTGAGCCATTTTCTGGATTCGAAATATTTTTTTTTATTTCAACACTCCGAAATTTTGGAAAAGCTGAATGCATTGAATCTCTTTACGGCAAAAATATGCACCCTTTGGAGTCGATGGAAAAAAATTTAGCTCTATAAACAGACTCAAACTATAAAGTTCCTCATGTTGGAGTAGTTTTAAAAGTCAAATGAAGTTGATTTTTAGGTCTTATTTGCTCAAACTGGGGCTGCGAACGTTCGCTGTGGTAAAGAGCAGAGAACACAGAAGTATCGAACAAGACTCAGTGTGGAAAAAGAAATGAGAAATGCCGTGTCCAGTTTAATCGACCGATACATTTGTTCAATAATGCAGTTATTTGACTTATTCATTATAAGTGCATGGCAATTTTTCTGGTGTTATAGGTGTTTGATTTATTTTTGTGCTTTGACTTTCGGAAAGACGCTCTTCACAAAGTGCGCTGTGAGACGAAAAAGTTTAGGAACCGCTTTCCTAATCAATATTTATTATTAAAATTGTTTTTATAGGATGATTACCTTCTGGTAAACAGTATTAGAGATAGACAAGTCAAATTTAAATTGCTCTAATCATAAAATAGTATTATATTCAACAATAAAAAATATGAAGGGTTATGTTGAAAACAGGTCTTCTGTTGCACCTGAAATAGTGGCAATAAGTGGTATGAAACTTAAAAGAAACATACATTTATACTTTATTTATATCTATATCCGCTCTTATAATATAAGCCTTAATTAACGAATTCGAAAATAATTGCTACCACAATTTAATTATTGGCGAATTGTATGCTTCTTGATTTTGGTTTCCGTTAAGTGTTAATAACATTGTGTATCTTCATAATTGGTATACATATATAACAAAGTCATGGTATTCCGAAGACAAAAAATCGTTTCTGCAGGATACGTTCATTATTTTCTGAGTATTTTGTAACTACTGCAACTGTTACAATTTAGGGTGACATATTAGGGTGAAATTAAATAATGTTCCTTAATTGATTTCATATTGTCATTGTCATGGAAGTAAACTGATTCCAATAATTATGCCTGTGTTTGGCAATTATAGTAAGAAAGTATTGCGTCTATTTGGATTAGTTGGCCAATAAAATATAATTGGTTTATTAAAATTTATTTCATTACCTTGTGAGTTTTATATGGTAAAAACTGTATTTTTAATTTAACGTAAAAAATAATTAAATCAATTAATAACATTTTTGTCATGAAAATATTACCTTTATGGACTAAAACGGTTTTCAATGATTATTTATTTATTAAAAGTAAACTAACATTGTTGAAACGGATTACTTATACTAAAATACGAAATTATCTTATTCAAACGAATAAGCGGAAAATATCACAAACTAGGTACATATTGACAATTACTTACAAAATTAAAACGTCTAAAATACGTGAAAGAGTTTTGTTCGTCTTTTAGGCCTAGCGAGAAATTAAAAAAATTAAAGGCAATACTCCAAAAGTCACCTTATGTGAAAAATACTGTTTGAAAAATTTTCTAGAAGCAAGTTTTTTTCAATCATTTTTTTTTTGATATGATCTGACTTGATTAGAAAAAACAAATAAATTATAAATTATTTTTAAATAAAAATATTTTAATTTTTAAAAAATCTTGGCTTCTAAATCCAAAACATCAAAATAACTGGGCCAAGTAGGTAATATTACTTAAATATCCACTCTTCCAGTTAGTTTTCTAATCAGAATAAAAATTTTAATTTTACTATACGTTCTATCTTTTACATATTGCCAGTGCCAGAATACTATATACTATACTATAAAATTTAAATCTAAACAGAATCTAAATCGAAACCGCTTAAGATATTTCAATAAAGTGGTCACCAACGATTCCTGACCAAAAAGTGTTGGAAATGGATTTCCGTTATGGCATGCGGATTTTCATCTGCCCACAAATGATTGTTGTGAAAATTTTAAATGGCATTTGTTAAAAAATTAGCTTCGTCCGTGAACAGAATTCAAATTGCGGATTTTGCGTAACATTATGAAGCTACCACTGACAAAAAATCACACGCTTTCGAAAATTTCTAGGAAATGCCTTTACTCTTTTTTTACTCATGAACGGCAAGAGAGCTCTTATCTTTCGAATTGAAAGGGGACTTTATTTGAGGGAAAAACCATTGGCGTACCATTTTTTTCTTTAAAAATATCAGTCAGTGCTCGTACGCACGCCACTGTTAGAACTAAAAATTATGTTTGCATTGAAAAACATGTGCCTTAATTAACTATCACTACGTACTAAATGTCACTGAAATATCTCAAGCGATTTCGAAAGTATTAATTAATTTCCTTCTTTTTCTTAAAATTTTAACATCTCGTATTTTCGCATTTTTGAACATATTATCATTAATTTTCCATGTAGAATCACATCCTTAAATATTTACATATCATTAAAGAACACCCTGTGTAAGGCGATATCTGGAACATCAAAAAACAAAAGATAGATGGATGGAATATTATATTGAATTAAAATAATAATCATCATCGTTAGTGTACAGAAATCTCTATAATTATTTTGAAATATCCATGGCGAGGAAGTTTAGTGGGACAAATTCTTTAAAATGTTATACCAAACAACTTTATTTTACATAAATATGCGTATTTATTACATAAATGTTACACTGACACTGGCTTGCTTCATTAATATTGTAATGCTTATAACACAAGATGTAGTATAAGTAAAATCCCAAACTAACTTTAAAGTAACAACATTAACAAATATTATTAAACGAATAAGTTTTGAATTCCATTTTCTGCCTGACATTACTAAATTTCTCCAGCCTTCATACTTATTCTTATTGCGAAAATTAGTCATGATATCGAAGACTTGTACAAGAGAGAGGGATGCATATTACTATTCTGTGGGCCGCATTTGTCTAAAAACATTTCTTTTCGTAACAATTTTATAAGATTCTTTAATTTACTTTACAAATTTATAATTTTTTATGAAATAACATCATTATGTGGTTTTTTTAAAACAAAGAACATATACTCATTTAATAGTTGGATAATGCTTTCAAAGCCTACACAGTTTTTTGTCACATATATTTTAATATTGCAATTCTATACTTCCAATCTAAATAAAACAAATAGACATTTTTTTTATGAAATTTGGTACATCATTTTTAGGAGTCCCGATTAAAGTGCTTATTTCCTAAAAGAATTACTAATATGGTTTCTTAAATTTCAGATGTATAACATTCATAAAATTGCGTTCAGTGCATTCGTATTCGAAGGGCGACGAATATATATGTATACTCAATGAAAGGACGCAACAATGTGGATTATATACCTACATATGTACATATACATACATATTATATTTTGAAAATGATAATAACTAACTGTAAACACACCGTACACTTTTAAAATTGTATGTTAACTAAAGAAACAAAATAGTCGCAAACAGGAAGAACATTTGTAACAAGGAACAGAAGTTTATCTATCGAGAGTCATTAAATTAGTTCGAGTGCGAGGACATAGAAATAATGCGTGCTCTTGAAATATGCCCGATTCACGCTACGCTGGATGCTTAGAATTGCATAAGAAGAGGATGTGGAAGTGAAACCCCATGGTAGTGCGACTGCTGCATATAGAAAGTACGCCTCTGGCCCATATATAAGCCACAGATAAAGAGTTCATACCAAGCAAAGCCTTCCACATCTTCTTACAATCATGAAGGCCTTGGTGAGTATATAAAACGAAAAACAGTGTAGTGGTTTGCGAAGTGACCTGTGATTTGCGTTTGGTGAATTTCCCATTTGGGAGTCTAGTGAATTTCAATGGACTTTTTGGATTTTTTAAACCACCTTATAATGCGTCTGATTTTTGTGCCATTTAGTGTTACAGCAGTTCCAAATTTGTCACTATTAGTTGTATAACCTTATCAATATTAATGCCGTAGCAATTTTATAAATTGTTGGTACCGGAAAAAATAAGATTGGCTCCCAAAATTTAAATTGAATTGATTTAAAAAACACAATATTAATATATTTTTATGAACGTAAATAACATAATTTTTATAAATAATAGCAAAAAGATATTCAATTTTTCAATATCGTAAAATGTATTCGCTTTATTAAATAAATTTTATTTTTTTTTTTAACCAAATCCAATTCTAATTATTGAACAATGCGAACATAAAAGAATTATTTCATTTTTTTTTAGCGCAAATCAAATCTAACATTAACATAGTATTAACGTTTCTGTATTTTGACTTCATACAATTAAAAATCTCATCAGTTCACACGTGATTATTAAAACTGACATTTTTCTTTTCAGATTTTCTTCGGTGCTGTTTGCCTGTGTGTAGCTTTAGCTGCCGAACCTGAAAAGAAAGAGGTGACGCAGGAGAGCAAAAAGCAGGATAAACGCGGTATCATAAGTTTCGGAGATCATGGAGGATTTGGGGGAGGAGGATATGGAGGAGGAGGAGGAGGATATGGTGGAGGAGGTTATGGGGGAGGAGATATAGGAGGGCATGGTTTTGGTGGCGGTGATGGAGGGAATATAGGAGGTGGTTTTCAATACGGGGGTGGCGAAGGTCATGTACACGAGCATGTTAAAACTGTAGTTGTAGAAAAGAAAATTCCAACTCCCTATGAAGTTGTTAAACATGTTCCATACACCGTAGAAAAGAAAGTACCTTATGAGGTAAAAGTACCTGTTCCACAACCCTATACAGTAGAGAAGAAGGTTCCAGTTCCAGTCAAAGAATATATTAAAGTACCTTACATTGTACCTCAACCTTACGAAGTCATAAAGAAAGTGCCTTATGAGGTAAAAGTACCTGTACCAAGGCCATACGAAGTAAAAGTACCAGTTCCTCAACCCTACACCGTCGAAAAGAAGATTCCAGTTCCAGTCAAAGTTCCAATTCCTCAACCCTACACCGTTTATAAGAAAGTCCCAGTACCCGTTAAGGTAGAAGTTCTAGTTCCTCAACCCTACACCGTCGAAAAGAAAGTTCCATATGAAGTCAAGATTCCAGTAGACAGGCCATATCCTGTTCATGTACCCAAGCCATACCATGTCACTGTAGAGAAGCATGTACCATATCCAGTAGAAAAACCAGTCCCATATGAAGTTAAAGTACCAGTTGACAAGCCCTACCCTGTTGAAGTTCCAAAGCCTTATCCAGTGCATGTCAAAGTGCCTGTACCACAACCTTACACCGTCGAAAGGAAAGTACCAGTAGAAATAGCAAAACCAGTTCCAGTTCCAGTAAAAGTACACGTAGACAAACCCTACCCCGTGTACAAGGAGGTACCTGTACCCGTTGAAAAAGAAGTACCATATCCAGTCAAAGTACCAGTAGCCGTGCCTGTGCATGTCTCGCACCATGAGGAGTCTGGTACTGGAGGCGGTTATGGTGGCGGTTACGGTGGCGGACATGGCGGCGGTTATGGCGGCAGTTATGGCGGCGGTTTTGAAGGCGGACACTATCACTAGTTGTTGTTGTATCTTTATTAGTTGTTATCAAATTACTATTTTGTACTATTGTGCTTGTTACACGCTAAAGAGTTAAAAATTACTTCGTTTCGACATGTTTGTTTAATTAAATTCATTTCCTCATTAGCAATCACAGAGCGTGCAGTATTATTACTTAGAAACTGTGTTAATTAATATATTTATCTACTTTTATAATAAATCATTTCTATGTATTTTACTACATTGTTTTAGTTACATTTCAGTTACAGCAATTTATAGAAAGTGCCGTTTCCTGTTGCAAACTGTTTATTATTTAATATTTTTCAATCTGGTTCCTTGGTAGTTAAATGTATTCGTATTTAAATATAGAAAGTTCAGATATCGTACAGAATCAACCAGCATACGGTAATAACATGTTATGTATTTATTGCCGTATATGCCGTGTTCTCATTAGATTAGTGAAAGTAATGAAGACAGAACTACATTCAACATCAGTCATCTGTAACTAATTATAGCATGTGCTATGTGTAGCTCCTAAGTACCGTATGGCACCTGTGGACATTTAATTTTCTCGTGTACATAATCAGATTTTACTTTTATTAGAGAAATTTCAAATTACTCAAATATTCTTTGTATATTCATATTGTATATATACAATGCGAACGTTAAATAACTGTTTAAATCAGTCTAATTTTAGTGTTTTAAACAATTTTTTAAATCATATCTATAGATAAAATGGACAATAAAAGCTCATTTACTTTAAAAAATATTAATTAATTAACTTTATTTTCAAGGTTTTTAATGCAACGTGAAACATTGACCTTTGACGATAATCGAAATTATTTGATTTTCTTTTATGACACTAAGATATTATGGTAGACATAGAGATAACAACTTAAATCTAATTAAAATATAAAACTCATACAACTTATTCTTTTAAATTACATATAAACTAAGGTGGTTTGTTTTATTTTTAAATGCAATTTTTCTAAACATCGATATACAATGTGTTGTTTTCTTTTTCAATATTACTGTTATAATCTTTTAATTATTATGAAACCGGCTTATAAAAAATCACGACATCCTTAATTTTTTTTATTCCAATGTTTTATGTTACAAACATTTTCCTACGTCTAAATTAATTAATTACACTCAGGACAAAGTTAATGTATTTGCTCACATTAAAATTAGAACTCAAAGGAAGAACAAATTCTTTTAGATTTAACAAGCATTTTAAACATAATTCATTATATAACAAAATTGCTAAACCACTGATTTATAACCACTTTAATTTTTAATACTAAGACAAATTGCATAATCATTTTTATACAGATTATGCCAATAAAACCGTAATTTAAAATAATCTCCTTCATTATGATCTTCTACCTATACCTGACAATTTAGAGGTATATACATACATATTACATATATTTGTAACAGATTTCATCCTAATTGTATTCTCAATAGGAATGATTTTTGTACTTGACTAATTTTAAAATAAAAAGTTCATATGAACATAGGTCCGCTTGGGAACGACTTGGTTTTTGAGATTTTGAGAATTGAGATTTGTTTAGTATTTCGAATATATTTTTGTTCAATAACATATAGTCCAACCAAATTACACTTGGACAAAAAAAAAATTATTACCTGGACTTTTATAAGTAGAAATGGTAAAAGGGCTTATAATAAACCTAAAAAAAAATAAATGCGTGAGCAGGGGCGGCGGAGGGTTGATTTGGGGGATTGAAAAGTTATGAAAAATTGTATCATTGGGATTTCTGGCGAAAGTTGAGGTCAAACAAAAAAGTATCCAATACAAAAGTTGTAAATCATGCAAAAATCTACAAATTTTGTAGTGGTCACTTTTTAACATAACCTCAAAATTTCCGAGAAAAATGCGAAAAACAGTTTTTTTTCTGATTTTTCGTATTTTATTTCTCATTTTCGCAAAAATAACTTAATTTTGACGAAACTTAGTGAAAGTATACCTTTCTCTGTCTCAAATAACCTCAAATTTGTTGAGATAAAAAATCAAGAAGTTTCTGACACACTGTATATCTATGAATCCATCAAACTTTAAAAAAAAATAAGTACACTAATTGATCCTACGGAAAAAAATTGTTATTTATTTTATTTATTCACTATTCGACTTATGTTTATAGCAATACTGTATAAAAATAGTTTTGGGTCAAACAATGAGACAGTTTTTTTTGTATTTTTTCCGTACAATTGAATGGTGTAATCAGTTTTTGATTTTTTTAAATTTAAACAAATTATCAACAATTACTGAAAAATTCATTGCTGCAAGTAATTTTTTACTTTTTTGCATTTTTGAGCATGTTTTTGAACTGTGATTACAAATTTTTTTATTTCACCAAAAAGTATGTCAAAACGAAAAAAATGATTACCGGCAGAAGTTTGTACAATAATTTTTTTAAGTATCTCAAAACTTCTTGATTTTTTTATTTAAACAAATTTGAGACTATTTAAGACAGAGAAAGGTATACTTTCACCAAGTTTCGTCAAAATTAAATTATTTTTGCGGAAATGAGAAATAAGAAACAAAAAATCAGAAAAAACCTGTTTTTCGCATTTTTCTCGGAAATTTTGAGGTTATGTTAAAAAATGACTTCTACAAAATTTGTAGATTTTTGCATGATTTACAACTTTTGTATTGGATACTTTTTTGTTTGACCTCAACTTTCGCCAGAAATCCCAATGATACAATTTTTCATAACTTTTCAATCCCCCAAATCAACCCTCCGCCGCCCCTGCTCACGCATTTATTTTTTTTAGATTTATTATAAGCCCTTTTACCATTTCTACTTATAAAAGTCCAGGTAACAATTTTTTTTTCTCCGAGTGTAATTTGGTTGGACATATGTTATTGAACAAAAATATATTCGAAATACTAAACAAATCTCAATTCTCAAAATCTCAAAAACCAAGTCGTTCCCAAGCGGACCTATGTTCATATGAACTTTTTATTTTAAAATTAGTCAAGTACTTTATAAACATATACAGGGTGTATGTCAAAATAATGAAATCACTAGGGATACAATGTTATTCATCCAAAAATACATTTAGCATTTGTCGCTGAAAGCAGCGGTTTTGTAAAAAAAACAGGTTTAAAGTTTAGTTAAACCTGCGTTGGAATTTTGTATGTTGAATCATTAAGAGTATTTGAAAAACAAGTGAAAAAGAGTCATGTGCTATGTTACTCTATCACTTTACAACTTCGTGTCACCAAATTAGTGAAAATTAGAAAAAATAAAAATTCGCAAAAACAAAAATATATTTATTATGTTTATTATTATGGATACGTGGTTATTACCAAAAAATATGGGGTATGTGTTAATAAATATTTTCTGTCATATCTTCATAACCGTGCATAATTTCGACTTTTGATAGGTAGGTATACATTTTTAGTGTAGAAAGAAAGACAATTTAAACGTACAAAAAAGTTACAAAAGAATATTCACAAAGTATTGTAGTAAAATGAACGTCCTGTATGATTTAATCTAATACGAACATAATCACTGCATGAAGAGAAACTAAGCAATAGCAAATTTTCCTCAAATCAATTAACTGGGTTCTGAGTTAAGGAGAAAACAAGAAATAAAAAAAAGAAACTTTAATATGTAACTTTTTTGCGACATTTTTCATTTAAGCAAGTTTGGTTAAATCGACACCATTTGAGTTCTAGATTATACCTTTGAAGTATGCAACATTCGCTGGATGACACCCTGTATTATATGTATATTTACTAGCATTTGACGTGAATTTATTTCTGTTTTTATAAACAAAACACGCTGCCTTGTTTTGTTTAAAAGTTGCTCGACAAGAATCTAGGCGTATAAGAAAGAATATTAGTCTAGCCTAATGATTTTTTTCTGTAAAATGAAGACTCTTTCTAAGTATGTACTAACACCCCAAAGAATAATTAAATACCTTAGGTGGCAATAAAATTATATACCTTACTTGTTGTCATACTTGCTTTTCGACGTCGTTTGACAATTTCATATCGCATGCTCAAAAATTTTTTGTAAAAGTTACATAAATAACTAGGTATGTAAATGAGGAAATTTATAAAAATTTAGATAAGATTTAAGATTTATTTATAATGAGGAAATTTATAAGAAATATTTATAGGCCTGCTATATATTTTTTGGGCTGAAGCGAAACTTTTTCTTATAGACGATATATTGCATTTTTGAATAGATTTTTTTTCATTACATTATTATTGTGGTGGCTGATGCAGGGGACTGTGGGGCGCGAACAAACTGAAATTAAAGTCAAAGCAAAGTCAACAGGCAGTGAAAGGGCAAATTACTCTGGGTCTGTTGTTACCACATAAACACAAATTATTCCAATCCCTTTCACGTTCTAGATTTTCTTTCGATACTTTCAGAAACGTTTTCTCGTAATTACTAAATCCTTACGCATCCATTTTAACAGAAAATATCACATTTTATTAGGAAAAGACAAATAGGTGTCATATAGGTACGTATCAGAATACAATCTTTTAATTTTTTAATTGGCATTTAAACGACCTGAATGGGTTACATATAAACATAGGAAAACTTTCCAAAAGAGAGTATGATAATGATCAACTATTATAAATTCATACAAAGAGAGTGTCATAAAGATAAGTACCAAAATTTTAACCACTCATTAAAAGCAATAACTTTTCACTAATAAGCTTCTGTAAAAATTCACATTTTGTACGGTATTTTGTACCACTTAAAATAAAATTAACGCACTTCTTGTGGATTAAAGAAATAATTCATTATCTTAATATTCTTACTAGATTAAATACTATAACATACTCAAATTTAAGGGCACGGATGGTCCTGACAGAAAACACATATTTACACTTTTTTTAATATCTTAATGAAAATGTTCTTAGAGGAGAAAACAACTAGCAGTTTTTGATAGACAGGCTTAAAAAGTTCTATCAAGTTACTGTTTTTACGAAATTTAATATTACATCGCACATTTCAAATAATTTTGAATTAGGTACTGTAATAAGACAGTTCACATTCATATTCCAACGAATTCATATTTCCAAAATACTTTAGTTATAAACCATTTTGAGAAATATTCACTTAAACGAAATGTTGCTAAAAGATAATTTTTTGCACAAAGCAACAAGACTTTTTTTCAGTCTGTAAAACAAAATTAACAGATTTTTCTCAGAAAACCACAATAAATAAAATGACTGCAAAAGTAATTAAA